TGCTTTTGAAGAGAAGCAAAAGCAATTTTGGAGAATCAGAAAAAAGTAGCTTCTCTCCAAAAGCATTTTTGATAAAAATACACTTAGAAACAGTTTTTAAAAGTTTGGCCAAACACTAATTGCTGCTCAGAAGTGCTTTTCAAATTAATTAGTCAAACACAAACTACTTCTCACCAAAAGTACTTTTGAGAAAAGCAATTTTGAGAAAAAATACTTCTCAAAATAAGCTGATTTTTGTAGCTTGGCCAAACAGACTATAGGATTCCTCCCGTCTTTATTAACCTTATTATGATTATTACTTTTTATTATCTTTTATCATAGCATTGATATTGATAATAAATGGGGCGTAATAGCTCTAGTATAAATAGAGGCTTACATTCTATTGTAAACATCAAGAAATACTGATAGCAAAAGACTAGTATTCTTTCTCTCAAGCTTTACACAAGTATTGCCGAGATTTTCTAATTATTCTTGATTCCAGTGGGAACATTCTGAAGCTTAGGCTTGTCTTTTCTTCAATTCTCTTTATTTTAATCGCTTTATTCTTTATTACTTTATTTATCAGATCAATTTAATCCACGTGTCTATAAACCACTATACAAATTCAATTATACTGTTTTTACGGGGAAACAGTTTGGCACCAACCATGGGGCATAGACAATTGTGGTATTATTTTGATTTGTTCATCTTATTCTAATGTGCTTTAAAGGTTTTTTTTCAGTTTTAAGCATACTCAAGTTATGGCATTTAATGATATCAACAACTCGCTCAATATTGGAATAAACTACAACGACGAGCCCGTGGACAATCTCCATGAAACCAACATGATGGTTCAACTAGTGAAACCCGTATCGATGGGAATGAGTCAACTCCTAATTGGGTGGAAAGAAAGATTCGACATGAGAGGAGTCCTACCCCTAATAATATAGATGGTGAGCCGGTGGTTGTTACTGAGAAGATGTTGAGAGCACAATAACGAAAAATTATGTACGATTTCTCAAGACAAGACCGAATAATGTTTGAGCTTCAACAAGCAATACCGGGGGCTTCAAATAATTCAAATGGTGGAATTCGAGTCCCTCCCAGTGTCCCTATAAATCAAACGGTACTGAGAACCGGTAACATCACTTGGTGAAGTTCAGAAGAAACAACAATCAAGCAGGTGGTGCCGATAGTAGATCTGAAAATGAAAATAACGCAAACGATTCTTTCAAATCTGAACTCATGAGGTTTATGAGGGAAACAAATGCTCGAATGGATCAAAATGCTAAAAAATTTCATGATCGGATAGATTAGATTTCGGGAGCACCTCCGACCCTAAAGGGCCAGACTCAAAGAAGTATATACAGTTACCGTTGAAACCCAATGCAGCTCCGGAGTTGATTCCAAAGAGATTTAAGATACCGAATATTCCAAAATATGATGGAACATCGGATCCGCATGAGCACAGCACAACCTACACCACAACTGTGAAGGAAAATGATTTGGCTATGAGATCGAATAAGTTTTACTAAAGAAATTTGGCGAAACCCTAAAAAAAGGGGATTTAACATGGTATTCACTTTTACCTGAATACTCAATTGATTCTTTTGAAATGCTTGCAGATTCTTTCATCAAAACCCACGCTGGAACGAGGAAAGTTCAAGTTAGGAAAGCAAATATTTTCAGAATTACTCAAGGAGACTCATAGTTGTTGCGAGAGTTCGTGATAAGGTTCCAAAGAGAACGCATGTTGTTGCCAACGGTACCGGATGAATGGGCAGCAGAAGCATTTGCCAAGGGTCTTAATCCCTAAATCTTTGATGCCTCAAGGAAGTTGAATGAGCGATTGTTAGAATTTCAACCAACAACTTGGGCAGGTGTTCATAACAGGTACGAGTCAAAGATTCGCATAAAAGATGATCAGGTAATTAAATAGACATCTTCTATGACCCGGAATCAAGGTCAATTGAACTTTGATTGGAGATATTCCAGACATCGGTTTGAACCATACCCGTCAGGATCTTGTGCTGACATGAGGTAGGGGAGTACCCGAAGCGAGTCACCAGAAAGTAACTTCAATGAAAGACAATAATGTCTACAAATGTTGGGGACTGTTGCATTAGAGAAGCAGAAACCGATATAATAAGTACCGGAAGCATCTGAAGATGGCTTCGGCACAATCCGTACAGGATACCAGAGATAGCCCAAACTGGCTCTAAAATAAAGAAAGGAACTGGGGAATGCGAGATAAAGGACTAGGGACTACCAGGTCAGCCTCGAGAAAAAAGAAATGGAAGAAATCAGAATCAAGAATCAGCTAGACCCAATAAATGTCAGCCCGGTCCCAATTCTCTTGCAATGATTTTTTGTTCATTTCCTATAAACTATCGTATATACAAAATTGTAAATACTTATGTACTGTCAAGGAATGGAACGAGGCAAAACTTGCACTTTCTAAAAATATTCTTGTATACATTTGAAAATTTGAATGAACAAAATCATTCTTAATATTTGCTCATACTTAGAAGTAAAAAAGGATTACAAATCCGAACATTTGTGCCCGGATGAACATGAGACGTCCTCTTCATAAGCACTGTAAACACAAGGGCCATCTCTTATGAAGCTATTCAATCAAATGGCTAAAGGTTGGATGTCTTGTTTTCCGATCATAAAGTTAACTGGAAGCATTAAATTTTCGGACCTTATCAAAACCAGAAGTATAAAATTCATGGTCATTAATATCCTCGGTCTCAAAGGCTGGGAGGTTAGAAAAGATTTTGGGTGCAGCTTAAAACCCAAGAGTGAAAAACTCAAAAGTTCTAGGTGAGTACTAAAAATTCGAGATAAAATTTTTTGTGGTACCCCTTCAGCGCCAATCAATCATCGACGTAAGAATAATAAGTGGTGGAGTTGTCATCTGAATCCCTAAGTTCTGCACTCTTTTTTTCTTCGCCCGATTTTTGTCCCTAATTAGTTTTTCCGACAAGATTTTTAATGAGGCAGTAACGAGGATGGAAAACTTCCACTTCCCGGTCACATCACGGTGAGTAACCGAAAAGTGGGGGGACTATCTATATATGGTAAAAACCGGTCTCAGAAGATGAGTAAATTAGGAAGCAACGCATGTCAAGGATGACCAATCAACAGTGATTCAACCATATTCACATCGGATATAAATCTATGACCGGATAAGATATTAATACCAGATACAAATCTGTGGTCGGATAAGAAACAGTTCAAGATATGACCGTTACAGAAGACCCTAAGATTCCTCCCGTCTTTGTTAGCCTTTATTAGGCTTTATTACCTTTTATTACCTTTTTATTATCTTTTATTGTAGCATTAATATTTGTAATCAATGGGGCATAATAGTATAAATAGATGCTTACATTCTATTGTAAAACATTAAGAAATATTGATAGCAAAAGACTAGTATTCTTTCTCTCAAACTTTACATAAGTATTGCCGAGATTTTCTAATTATTCTTGATTCCGGTGAGAATATTCTGAAGCTTAGGTTTGTCTTTTCTTCAATTTTCTTTATTTTAATCATTTTGTTCTTCATTACTTTATTTTAACGGATCAATTTAAAAAATCATGTTAAATTTCTTAGATTCTTATTTTAATAGTACGAGAAAAACACATCTTAGTTATCATTATAGAAGTTTGAGCAAAATAATACACATACATGTATTTAGGTTTTTTAGTATAAACACGGTATGTGAGCCTAATCAACAAGTGGAAGGTTCTCTAAACTAACTTTCTAGCATGGCATTTAATAAAGGTACTTCTTTCACTCATCAAAATGGAAAAACACGCCGTCTAAAGACTATAGAGATAAGTCATTGATAAAAGCTAATGTTTCTAAATGTAGTGTTACAGATTTAAAATTGATACTCTATTCTCCTACTTATTACTATCCCGAGGAAAAGCTTATTTTGGCCAAGTTTCTAGAAAACTATAGATAACTATTATTTTTCCCCGCTGAGATGCATGGCTCTTACTAGTAGTATAATTAGTATTATTCTTGTCCATTTTTTATCTTTAGATCTTTATTATTATACTTTGTGTATTTATTTTTTCTTGTTGTTGTTATTGGTGGTTGATTTTTTTCACTGTTCCTTGAGTTGAGGGTTTATCGAAAATAATCTCTCCACCTTCACAAGGTGGGATAAGATATGCATATAAATTACCTTTCTCAGACCCTACTTGTAGAATTACACTGGATTTATTATTATTGTTGGTCGAGAGGCATGGACCTGTGAACGGTAAGAGCGAAATATAGTAGAAGAGAAGCCTTTAATGGATTGTTCTCACTCCAAATTATTTGTGGTGTAAGGTGAAATTGCAACCATTAAACTTCAATATATTCCCTTTTATAAACTATATATATCTGACTTGCACGACTTATTCATAGTTTTTAATAAAAAAATCTCATATTTCAATAGTATAATACTTGTAGTTCTTCTAATTTTATATTCCAGGTACGATTGACCAAATTCTCCTGCAAAACAGAAACGAAATTGGAACACGCTATCAGAAAGACACTTGAATGAGTATTAGTACCAAAAGTTGGGAATTTAGGAGGGAGTCTGGAGGAAGGAGAAAAGAAGTTTCGAAACTAATTAAAAAGGTTATTAGTCGTTGGTCAAATATTGGGGTCTATTACGTCCGCACATACCTTTTGGAAATTGGAAAAGTGCAAAGTTTTAGCTACTAATTAAGGCAATTCGCATTAATCACAAGGGAGGCAATTAGCATGAGTTCTCAGAATTCTTCCAAGTAGTAGTAAAGCTGTTCCTTCTAGATTTACGTTGACTATTCTAATTAGAATAAAATTTAATAGTATGATTCTCTTGCCATAACCTGAATTACCAATGACTTTGCGTAATCGGTTACTTTGCAACTGGCCTAAATTAAAACTCAAAAAAAGAAAAGAGAAGCCAAATATGTCCCTGGCTCTATATATCCCTTTGTGTTCTTTCCCCATTAAATAGGGCCTCCAAACCAGAAAAATAAAATGACAACCAGGTCTTTCCTCCTGTTTACTATTTGAAGAAAAAAGTTTTGAAAATTAAAAAGACAAAAGCAATGAAAGAAAGGTCAATGCTTCAATAAAATTCAACGCAGACCAACCTTTGATTTATAAATTGGTCCAAAAGCCACGCTAAAAAAGCCAATTACAATAACAGCTAGCCTTGCATAAAACGTAGCCATCTTCGACTCTTCTCCTTCGTTGGAGAGTTAATTTCATTTCCATTCTCTCACACATTACTCTGATCCAAAGTTCTTTTGAGCAATGGCGTTTCCAGATAGCTCGACTCGAAAATCTTTGATCCCCAGTTTTCTTTACAGGGGACGTTCTTCTAATCTCACTACTTTGGATCATCATGGCAAAATAGATAGCTCATCTCAGCCGTCCATTTTTCCGTCATCATCAACCAAGAATTTCTTGGTTGCGGCACCAAAGGAGGGTTCGGGTTCAGGGTATAAAGTAGAAATGTATACACCGGCGTTTTACGCTGCCAGTACAATCGGTGGTATTCTGAGCTGCGGTCTTACTCACACGGCTGTCACCCCTCTCGATCTTGTCAAGTGCAACATGCAGGTATTTCCTTTTATTTTCTAACCTTCAATAATTAAAGTTCTAACACAATAAGTCACTTATTAATCTTTATAATAAATATAAATAACTTGAAAACAATAGTAAGTTACCTGCTATAATATGTAAATCTTTCATATATTGTTAGTATATATAATCTAAATGGAGTACTTATTAACCTTACATTTTATGTTATGTACATCGATAATGTAAAAAATATAGTACTAGCTTTAGACTCTTAACCTTATCGTTGAAAAAAACGATCATGAAAAGCTGATGCTTAGACTTTGCATTAAATTGACTTGTTTGATTTTGTCAGATTGATCCTGCAAAGTACAAGAGCATTTCCTCTGGTTTCGGAGTTCTGCTTAAAGAGCAGGGTATTAGAGGTTTCTTTAGGGGTTGGGCACCTACTTTACTTGGTTACAGCGCACAGGGAGCATGCAAATATGGATTGTACGAATATTTCAAGAAGTACTACTCAGACGTTGCTGGCCCTGAGAATGCCGTCAAGTACAAGACTTTGATATATCTAGCTGGTTCTGCTTCTGCTGAAGTTATTGCTGATGTTGCACTCTGCCCATTTGAGGCTGTCAAAGTTCGTGTCCAAACTCAACCTGGTTTTGCCAGAGGCTTGTCTGATGGACTTCCCAAATTTGTCAAAGCTGAAGGCGCTGCTGGGTATATGCTTGTTCTATTATATAACTTCTTGTTAATTTTTTTGTTGTGGGGTTTGATCAATATTGAGTGCCTTTGAATTTTTCTTACAGGCTTTATAAGGGGATTGTTCCTCTCTGGGGACGACAAATTCCATGTAAGCATACATATATATATATATGTTCTCTGAATTTTCCATCAATTATGGTTTTAATTAGTTTTCCTATTTATTGGAAAAACAATCTGTATAACTTTAATAAACATTAGTAATTGGTAACCTAGTAAAAGTGGTAACTGACTTACTATCATAGGATAATAGTGTAAATAAATATATCTCAAATTCTTAACCTTATATTGGTTGAAGTGCGTGGCATCTGTTTGCTCTTTATTGAATGTTCCATTGCTGTGGAAAATGGAAACTGCATAGGTTGACTGAGTCCAACATGGGTTATTTTACAGACACGATGATGAAGTTTGCATCATTTGAAACCATAGTGGAACAACTCTATAAACATGTCATTCCGACACCAAAAGACCAGTGCAGCAATACTACACAGCTTGGTGTGAGTTTTGCTGGTGGATATTTGGCTGGTATTCTCTGCGCTGTTGTATCACACCCTGCTGATAACCTAGTTTCTTTCCTCAACAATGCCAAGGGAGCAACTGTTGGCGATGTGAGCATACATTAAACTGAATCCTCTATACTAATATTTTGTTGCAATATGCCTAACAATTTTTCCCTTTTGTCAGGCTGTGAATAAGCTAGGCCTATGGGGTATCTGTACTCGTGGTCTTCCCCTTCGTATATTCATGATTGGCACACTCACTGGAGCACAATGGGGAATCTATGATTCTTTCAAAGTTTTCGTTGGCCTGTAGGCTTCTTCTTCCTTATCTTTCATTTGCTATTGTTGAATCAAGCAAGAGATAATCTTGTGATGTAGTATTTATAATATCTTGAACTGATGCTTAGATTCCTCACCTTGCAGGCCAACCACCGGTGGTGTGGCTCCTCCTGCCCACAAGTGAACCTGATATCTTCTTGTTTTCCTCTAGTACTAGAAAGATATAAGGTAGTATTAGTTTTGCATTCTTTCAATGTGTGCAGTTACATCCCTATCTTTTGGAGGATACATCATCCTCGGCATCATTGGACTTGAAGTACCACCTTAGTCTGTAACCACGATTTTTGGACTTTAAATAATGTCAAATTTATAATGAGAAATATGTTGCTTCTCCACTTCACAATTATCATGGTTCTCATGTGATGAGATGATATTCCTTATCTCGATTCATTATACATTGTGTATCCAACACCACAAACGAAAGACCTTCACGAAAAACCAGCAACCAGATGATAAGAGTATACACAATATTTTTCAAGGCAAACACGACAACTGTTTTTATTGGATCAAGCTATTTCCTTACACTTAACAGCTTTTCCTGCAACTGATAATACATTCTACTGGAAAAAATACATGACTTCCGCTAACAAAATTCTAGGTATCATCCTCGCCAATGTTTAATGGATATATGGTATCAAAGACGATCCTTGCAAAGACATGTCGAACTTCCTGTAGGCTACCCAAAGCTAACAACTCATAGTCTATCTTGCTACCTTGCTTAGCTACAAATCCCTTCTCCTTTCCCATTCTAACGCATTGGAAAACCTTGCACGTTGTTAAATACAGTGCTAGTGGAATAAATACCTGCAAAAGAATGAAAAAGGAGAGATTAACTTGCCTCTTTTCTTTGGCAGATAATATCAACTTTCTTTTAGTTTATAGCTGTATGCCAAAAATATGAAGAGACATTCAATACAAGGTCAAACAACCAGGACAGGAAAGAAAGGTCTAGTCTCGAAGAATAGCAAATCAAGAACGAAAGAATATTAGGGAAATCAGCTTACTAGATCTGAGTACGGCGCTTTAGGGTAGTTGGTCATTGCTCGTGAGACAAAATACTCATCTGTCATATTAGTTAATGCCCTTTGAACAGAAGTTGCCAGTTCCACAACTTCCTCTTTCAAAGCTGCCAAGTCCAGATCCTGAGACTCCAACTCATGAAAGCTTCCATCATGTTGTGTGGAGATCCTTTTAGCTATACTTAAAGCTTCTGACAGATCGCCTCCGTTATGGATACCAAGGCCAAATGCTGCAACCACCAAAGGGTCCCTTGGCTGATCTGAGATTGCTTTATGGAAAGCCAAAATTGCAACCCTAGAACATAAAGAATTCAGATAAGCTTGGCTAATTGATCCAACAAGGACATTAGCTTCTTAGCATTTTGATGCAATTTGAATTTGAAAAGAGGATTCTGCATCTACATTTTTGGGAACAAAACTGAAAGAGAAAAATGTGTATGAAAAACTTTTTGGCATGTTAACATACACCTTCACCCAATTACTCACATTCTTTTAGAATTATTAGTTCTTCGGCTAGGAATCATGAATGACAGAGAGAATATATGCACATAACTAGGCAGACTTCAGTTGCAATTACTGATCAAAGAAAAAGTGCAGATTGTGCAGCTCCAATCACTTGAAATTATAGGTATGTAAAGCAAGATGAGTTAGCTCCAAACATACAATAGAATTTGTCACTTTGAGGCCAACAAATGCGCCAGATTTCTCAGTAAGATTGTTCACTTGCATGTTCTCAATTACAACAATGACAACAACTACACCTTAGACCCAAACAAGTAGGTCTCGCCTTATACAAATCCTCACTAACCATGTTTCTCCATTTAAATTCATCTCAGGCAAACATCATACAAAACAAAAAAAAGTAAAAGTAAAAAGCACTAAAAGTTCTCTATATTTGCTAAGGGCATAAGAATCTCTAATAAGGCTAAAAAACTCCAAGAAAGCATAGGTCTTAGCAGTAAACATACTAACATTATTAAAACATATTATAAAAAAATCTGTACTTGCAAATTTTCAATTACTTGCCAAAAATATTGTTTGCTTGCATTTATCTGACTGAGAAATCTGTTGAAAGAATTACACTGAAGAACCCGAGGGTTTGCTATTCTATCATATATGGAACATTTGCACATTTGGACCAGTAAACAAGCCCAGTCAAACTGACTGGGAGAATCGCGTAGGACATTTTAGATATTAAAAAGTTAAGAGCAGCAACTTCTGTCAAAATTATTTTTTTAGGGGTGCATAGATTTTTTGATGAAGTCAAACATCACACACAAACATATTTGATTTGTCATTTAGGTTCCCATTTCTATCTAGTATTTACAATGGTCCTTTATATACATATATGAGAATTTTGTTCTTCAGTTTTCCTTTCAGTCTAGTAATACCTTTAACAGTCCTTTAACCAACTTTTTAGAGGAAAGGTCCTGGTGCCAGACACAAGAGAATTATCATGCAGAAATAGGAATAATACTACGCAATCCAGTGAATATCCCATAAACTGAAAATGAAATTGATTCATAGAACAACTTACAAACCATCTTACTTGCTGAAGCCTGTGCAAAGAATCTTACCATAAGCTACTGTGGCATGGCCTATCAGGGGCCAGTAACTTATCGAGGTTGGAAAACAGAGACTGCAAAGGAAGCAGAAACAAGTTAATCATTATAGCTTTGACTTCTTACTCATCAAACCAAAATCAACATAAAATGGGTTCAAGAGATGAGATATGCAAAATTTCTAGCATGTCAAAACTTGCATTTGACAACTAAAGGAGATATGTGACGATTATATTCATGGTATTAAAACGGTCCATCAACAAAAAGATAGGGAATCAGAATAGAATCCGCATTTGGATGTTGGTAATTGATGATTGCACAAATAGGATGCTAGAGAAACCATGATTTATCTTCATTGTAGTATAGGCCATCTAATGCAAAAGAAAAAAATAAAAATAAGCAGGACCACATGTATATTCTAAGAATGCACATGCACTAGATTTGGTATTGCTGTCTTAAAAATTACTTAATAATCACGCATAACAATGTAATCTTTATGGCACATTAAGACAATCATGAGCAACTCTTTGCTAAATTTAAAAATTATTGCTTCTTCAGCCAGTGCTATTCTCAAATTCATTATTTGCATTTACAAGAGCATTGATTCTAATGAAAATGGTCCCAGTATGAGATCAACAACCTAATGATTCTCCTTTAGATCAACACCAAGTTAATTGCAAACCGACAAAAACTGTAGTTTCTTGTTTTCTTTTCTCTTATTGGCTGCTTTAGGAGAATTTGAGTCTGTGATCATCAGATTTTCATTGAATGTTATGGTCCAAAATCCACCATGTCACGGCGTTAATCACTTTTTAGCCAATAATGCAGCTATGACTAAGCATAATAACTTATAACCACCTATGTTTCCCATCACCTCAAGGCCAATATGTACTACTTTTTGAGGGGAAAATTTTTTCACCCCCATGTACCTTATCGAGGACAAGAGTCTATGGTGGACCCAAAAAAGAAGAAATGAAACACCTAGCATTCCGAGCAAGATTTATACAAAAGAATTACCAAAAGCATGTTAGACCTCTTATCGCGTCTTCTAAAACCGTAACGAACAAAATATGCTGCCTGCAAATTAAGCTATATCAGAAATAATTAAGTTAACCATAAGGTGCAACAGAGATTCAGAATACATTAACCTGAACTGGCAAAAGTATTTCTAGAAAACCAAATTTCCACAACAATCTTAGTGAAGCCTCAGCAGAGCCATAAGCTAACATGTAATTCATTTCCATGAGGAGCCTTCCCTGAAAAAAATAAAGCCGAATAGAACATTTTGAAGTAGTTTTAGTGCTTTGATTAATCAAAATAATAGGTCTAGTGCTTTGTTGGTAGACCAACATACATAAGGTATCCATATAAACATTACACGCAAAAATATACAACACACACACACACACACACACATATATATATATATATATATATATATATATATATATATAGAGAGAGAGAGAGAGAGAGAGAGAGAGAGAGATGTTCTCCAAGTACCCTATCAAGCCTCAGGACTGAAGATGATAAGTTTTTGATAGAAAGAGCTGTCTCCCTTCCAAATCGAAATCCTAGTCTGGCAGCAATTCTAATTGCACGAAGGATTCGAGCTGCAAAAGTAAAGTAAAGATATTTTTGTTACATAACAAATATAAGTTAAACAATTACAATAAAGCGATGAAGTTGCTTTAGAAGAAAGAAAAAGAGCAAAGAAGTTGGCAATTTTAAGCACTCTTGTGTATAGTAAATAGAGAGAGCAAGTCATTCAAGCAAGATTATACACAAAAGCCGCTAAATGCCCGAACAGATACAGAGGACTTAACTATCTATCATTTAAGAGTCAAACTTCACTAAAGGAACGGGGAATGAAAGGGAACTCACCACAATCCTCTATGAGTGAGAAACTAGCAGGACCGATTGTTCGTACCTGTAGCACAAGTGATCAGATCAGAATGGAGAGGAGTTAGGGTAACAATTAGACCTCATCAAAGTTTATATGCACACTTTAGCTTTCCTGATATCATCCACTCCTCCCATGTAATCATAGACGAATTTTGAATAAGGGTCAAACATCAACCTGAGCAACAACAAAGAGGATAATTTACAATCGCCAGTAGACAATATGAGGTTTCAGGAGTTTTTAGATAAAGTTTAAAAGTCTACTGAAACATCTCCAACCCATAATAAACTACGTATAAAAACCAAAAAATTCAGTACAGCACAACATTAATGGAAGTGGTTGGCCAATGTGGGACAATGATAAATGCAAAGTCAAGAAGGTACTAGGATCAGATATGCAACCCATTTATTGTAAAATCTCTATGCAAACAATTTCTCCATCGAAAGTGGTCCTTCTCATCACAGTCAACTGGCTTCTCAAAAGATAAACTCAAGCCCCTCTCAGACCTTATTCCTGAGGTGTGAAAGCTTGAAACCTAATTAATAAAAATAAGATGTGTGTCATAAGCAAATAATATTAATTTGGAGAGCGCATAATGATCTTTGCATCTAGATTGGAGAAAAGTGAAAAAGATCATGGCAAACCTCCACAACTTCATTATCAACATGCACATGGCAGATCGGAAACCGTCTTCCAACTATCTCACAACGTGAAAATGTTCTCCTCACCTGCAAATACAATTGATAATAATAATAGGCCGTTAAGGTCAAATGTATATTTGCCACGGCCACGGATATAAATTATTCATGTATTTTCAATATATAGAAATAAGATTTTAAAATAAAACATGAATAATAATAATATCTTACTAATTAAAAAAAATAACATGAACAATGATATCCTATTCTCACATTTTTCTAACAAATATTGCAAGAAGAAGAATACTTGGAAAAGGAGAAAAGAAGAAGCTAGAAGACAAAAAAGGAAGAAAGACACTTTGGCCAATATAACTCTCATATTGGCCAAAACATCTTGAAAGATTTCCAGCTCTGAAGAAAAGTGTCATCTTTGGTCAATATATCATGTGCGGAATGGGAGAGAGAAGCCACATTGGCCAATATAGATTCCATATTGATATATCTCATTTTGGCCAAAGTGGGAAGTAACCAAGACCCATTTGTTGCTATAAAGAACAAGCTCACTTTGTAAAAGAATCAAGTCTTTTTGGCAAAACACAAGAACTAGTCTCGGTCTCTTTCTTGGCTTTTTCTTGTAGCAGAAATATTTCTTTATTCTTTTAAATATTTTTAGTCTTTTAAATTCCTACTTCGCTTTTCTTACTTCATAGTTCATACTGGAGTTAATAACATTTACCTCAGTTATAATACAAGCTTGATCTGAAATTTCCATATTGTGCTGGAATGGTTGTTTTTATTTAAGTTTAAATATTACATCTATCTATAAGTTATTCTTATATTAATTTTGTAATTTTCACGTAAGCAAACAAAATATATGATAACTAATGGGTAGTGGATTGAGAATAATTTTTATTAATCTACCATTCCAAGCCTGTAATCTTGCTTACTTCCGTTTTAATTCCCATGGAGGAATTGTTGCAGAAAAAATTATTGATTTATAGTAAAAATAATTGCAAGAGGTTTACTAGCTTTCAACACAATTCTGGATAGAAAATTATTTTGGTTTAATCATCAGTAGTAATATATCATATAGTTTACATAGCCTCATGGAGTGTTATTAATTAATTATTTCTTAGTGAGAAAATTATAGTTGTTTTAGCAACAAGCAATTATTCTTAAGAGAAATACAAGTCGAAGTTGAGATTTTATTATAATATTTTTATCAAGTGAATTAAGTGATTCGTAACTCGAGCTATAACACAGCGATGTGTCAATCCCACGTTGAAAGAAAAAGAAAGTTCAGCTTATATTTCTTTTTTAATTGTAAAGTTTCACCTAATATATAATGGCATTGATGTTACCATCGCACGTTACAGGAGAACAAAGTTCAGCTAATAAAACTAATGCCTTCACAATTGTCTCTAATTTGTAATACACCAAAGACAATTTTCCAAGCAGCTGAATACTCAATAAAGATTTAAACATAAAACCATTAAGGTATATTTCCCGTTAAATCAGGCGACGCATCCGAACTTGTGTGTTTTAAATTCCTTCAACTGCCGAGCTGAGATTACACTCTGAGTGGGACAGAATGGAAGGAATGGTTGCGGAGATAATAGTGAGAAAATTAATTAAATAAGCTCCATAACATTATATGAGCTTCACAGCAAGAAGCAAGGACAACGCATAGTAGGAAGGGGCTTTGAAGTTGTTGGGGTAGGTTTTTAGGCAGTAAAGATATCTATAGTGTTACTATCTACTATGAAATCTTGTCGAAGATGATTCACAACAAAATCTACCATGTCCCTAGCACTGCACATGCAGAAGAACGACCAGTACACAATTGAGACCCAAGACTAACCTCTTTAAGTTCAGCTGTAGTTATAATGTCAAAGTCTTTGGGTGTTCGTTTTAAAATAAGATCCCGAACACAGCCCCCCACAAGGTAAACTTCAAATCCTACAAGATAGATGGAAAGAATTTTACATGGAATCGGAATTCTGAGAAGACATTGAACTGATGACACGTGGAAAAGAGAACACTAAGAGATTACTCGCACCCCGTAGAGCTAAAGCATTAGACAACAATTTATCAAGTAAATAGGAAAACTTCACCACAAAATCAATATCTAATAGTTATCCACCATCAGCTGCACGTTATGCTACAATAATTATCCACAATATAATCATTACTAGCTCTAGATGATTGGGCTCCTAACCATCTTACATCTTGAGCAATAAGAATTGAAAGACCAAGAAGCAATTACATATGGAGTATTACATCACTTTTTTTGGGGGGGGAATATTATGCCAAGTATTTGGTAGCTGTTAAATGGGGAAACTCTAGGTCTCAGTGGTTGCAGTTCCTCTCTGTTTTTTATTGCTCCATGAGTGCTCCAGGATTCGTTCATCATGTTTTTACTGTAAAGGAGTTTGGAAATTTGGATCTTCAAACAAGCCTTTGTTTAAAGAATAAAGAGAAATCTCTTCACAGGGACTAATTGAAGGTCCCCTGTTTGGGTGTGCGGGTAGCGGATTTCTTTTATGGGGAGCCTGATTCTACTCCTGTGAAGTTACACATCTCTTGTCAATAACCTAGGCAACGAAAAGGGGTATGATACTTCAACTAGAGGAACTACCAGTTGGTTCACCAAACCCTGACCTAGCGTCACATTCCCTAGATCCGAAGGAATCCAATGCACATGGTAGATGATTCATTGCTAAACACAGAAAAATAGGCAACAGGAAAGTTTTTAAATAAAAATAGAAATCAATCCCATCATAGTTATCACCTAAAGCAGCTCGAAAAATTTTAACATAATAATAATCCACGTCCCAAATGGCAAATCCTACATACATTGCATTTCTCTTAAAAGAAGCATGGACCTCAAGTATGTAATCATAAATAAGGAATAAACACCGACACCCTTGAGGAACTCTCAGGCAAAGCTTAAACCCTCCTTTATTCTTGTTTTACACATGTTTATCGCCATAAATATTCACCTTTCACTCTTTGCATTACTGCTGATGACAGTAAAGGACAAAGCAGAGTAACATGAACAATGAAGACTAGTCCCATTCATTACATTTGCCCAAATAGCTAACAAGCAATTAATTTCCATAGCTAGAACAAGTACTACCAACCAATCTTTATAATTTAATAATCCAAAACAAAATTAAACTAAAAACATAAAAGCAACAAATTGTAATCAAGTGCGCATTATTTAGTACCTTTACTTTTGAGACCATTAAGAACAACTCTTGTAGGCTTTGCGATCATCGAACTGCTAATTCCTAATTCCTTGGAATTGAACCTCTTCCATTCTGCTGGTTCTGTAATGCCACTAGGATGTTATCGCCTTTTTTTGAGTTTAATAAGAATTTAAATTTGTCGAAATTCAACTACCTTTGCCACTGTCGGTCTCTTCAATTGCTTCAATTGCTGCGGCACAGCTAATAAATACCTGCAGAAAGAATTAAAGAGTGCTTCAAATGATATTCCAACTCTACAATAAATAAACGAAAATAGGCATGTGCATTTTCATGAGTAAAGAAAGAACAAAAGAGGCACCTTTCGCATGCCATGAGAGAGGGGAAAATGCGGACGACAAGAAAATGCGAAACCACTGGAAATGGCCATGGTTCGTTCTAAAGCTATGTTTCTGCAACAATGAACTTGGGGTTTTCATAGGGTTTTAGCACAAGAGAAGAAGCGGTGATGATTTTGGAATCGGGTTGGGCTTGGTCTTATTCAAATGAAAAAATGTAATGGTATAACAACCTATTAAGAGAATTGGCATAAAAAAGCCCTAGTTTTAGATATTGGCACCCTATAGTCCAATTTTAAGTTTTTCATTCTTTTAATTGGTATATAATAGCCAAATTTATTTTTATTCAAAATCAAAAGTAACGTTCAGCACATCCCCTCTCTCCTTCTTTAACGCTATTCTTCTCTATCTTCCCCAAATTTTATATTTTTTAAATCTCCCAAATCTCTCTATTTTTCTTCGATGAATACTCTCTTATGGTTTGTTCTTAATCTTTTTCTTAACTATTTCACTAAATTAAGAGTTTTTTGTAGAATTTCGACGATAAAATCAGCATTCTTGTCAAGTTGAAAAATGGGTAAAAATTCAACCGCTGAGAAATTAAAATTTAAAGCAACAATGGTCAAATCTTCATCTCTTCATGTTGATTATGACTTTGAATTCGAAGTTACGGTGTTAAAGGGGTCGAATTTATCACATGCAATAGCCGTTCGAAGGACAACCCAAAGAAAAAATGGGTTGATGCAATGTATACAAAAGACAAAGGAAAAAAATCACAAATGCATCTTGTATCAACAAAATATTGTTGTTAAACCCAAAAAGAGAAAGCGCGTTAGCACGGAGGAAGTTCAATGTGATAAACATCTTTTGAAGGTATTTTTTAATCTCAATTGATTTAATGTATTTTATCCGATTTATCCTTTACATAATGTTAGCTATAGTTCTTTTCTTTGTTGGGTGTCGCTTGAAGAATTAGGTCGGGATCGTTTCTACTGCTTAAATAAAGTTATCAGCTAAAGTTGTGATTTCGTGCAAAGCGTATTTGAGGATTAGCATCCTTGCTTAATGTATACTTAGATGTTATATGAATATAGAAGTTGAAATAAATGGTTGGGCACCATTTTTTTGCTACCAATTCTTGTTAATTCTTTTGAATTTTCAGTAAGAATAGAAAAATTAGATTTTTCCTTACTAGTACTTGAGTGAATGTTATACCTTTCGCATAGTTAGCTTCATATCGTGTTTACATAATGGCTTTGGGTGTTTTAGTTTCATATCGTGGTCTAGGAATTGACAAATAATCAACTTATATTGCCCACCTTGTTCAGAGTGAATTTTAAAACTAAACTTTCCTCTTTTCCTTTCATGTTTAATACAAAATATTTATGTATTGATAGAACCCCCATACTTAACTGTATATTTTTCTTAAATCCTTTTTTATTTAGTATTAGTATCTTTTCTTTTATATTTGAATTCTGTTTAAATGCAGCAGCTTTGAGATTTATGAAAAGGTATTGAATTATCCTTTCTGAAGACGTGTAGTTGCAGAGAATTTAATGATGTTCACTTTCTACATATATGGCTTAGTATAATTAATATTTTTTTAATGTAGAAATGAGATTTTATGTCGCATTGGATACAAAATTATCCACTTCTCGTTGGAGCTCATATATCAATGTTGAGGTTGTTGATGAGTTAAAGTTGAAATTGACGGATGAGCATATTCAAATATTTATGAAAAATTATTTCGGCTATTTTCTCGATTTGCCTCCTGTTATGGTTCAGAATCAAGTCATACTATTCTTAATGCCAAAGGTTGTTTCGAGATAGTGATCATAAGTTTTACGTCAAGATCAATCATAGTACCCTTGTGTTTTGGGATTAGAGAATTTACAATTATATTTGGTCTAAGGTGTGTTGGTGAATGTCAGAAAGATTTTCCTACGTTTGATGGTGGTGATTATCCGATTCAAAGGGAGTCTCAAATTGTTATACTTGAACAAACTGTTGTGCAAAAAGTTCTTGAGGTGCCAAATTACCCAATGCCAAAACCATCCCCAAGAATAAGACATATTGGAAAATATAAAAAGTCTCCATATATGTCACTTCATTCAGGAGATTGCAGTTATGCAGTACAAGTGCCTAAGTAATATTTTAACCTTAAGCATCCTTTTAACGTTGATATTGGGGTTGAACCTGATCTTGCCTTGCGTTGGGCTTTTGGTCAATTTGTCGATGCGGGGACGTATAAGAAACCCAAGTAAGCTGATTTTTAATATTTAGCTTAAATTTTATTATTTTAATAATTTATTTATTTATTGATATGTATTTTTTTATTTTTCTTGAGTGGGTGCGATCTATAAAAAGGGAAAAGATCGGATTCAGCTTTATGTCTTTGAAGATCATCATTTTGTCAAGAAAGAATGGTTTCACACTTTGAATTACAGTGGTCGAGCTTTGGACGACACAATATGATTTGTGTATTCCTTGTACATTAGATTATATCATTGTATATATGTATATATATGAAGTTAAATCACAATGTATGCTCTGTTATACATGTTAATTTTAAACTAACATGTATAACGCCATGTATATTATATAATGACTTATATAACTAACATGTATAACTCTATGCATATCTGTAATTAATAGTATTGTTGTCGTTTTACAACCATATGTACATCATGAAATTAATTGTGTAACTGACATGTATAATGCTATACATATCATAAACTAACTTGTATATCAGTATGTTCTAGTGATCCCTCACTTAATTGTCTTACTACCGTGGATTATTTGAGTGGTTACACTTTGGATAACTACTGTATGTTTTATGCTTATGGTGAATATCAAGCTTACAAAGTTAATTTTTCTATTTTTGATTTTAAGGAGCTGAGATATCACATGAACTAAATTGATAACATCTCTCCTTACATTAGGTAATGCACAGTATGATAGGCTGAATTTGTGGTATAATTGAAGATTATCTGCGTGCCTCCTTATGCCAAAGTAATCACTCTAGAGTCATTCTTTTGTGCGGATGTATGTTCCGTTGTCTAGTGAAAAATTCTGATATTTTTATCCCATTGTGTATAATACTTATTATATCGATGTCTCCGGAGGGAAGTTTTAGAATCTTGATTTTTTGCTAGTTATGCATGCCCTTATTTGGTGTTTTACTTTGTGATGCATTACAAATTAAAGTTTCTGCAATTTGATACCTATGTTTTCTAGTATTATTTTTTAGATAACTCTATGTATATATGTAACTAATAGTAGTATTGTCATTTATAACCACATATACATCATAAAATTAATTGTATAACTGACTTGAATAATTATATGTATATTAAAACACTCAACGGTATGGATATTGTGTATATCTACATGTATATTAAACACAAAATTTTTTAACTACATGTATGTCTTGTATGTTGATGTATTTCTCATGTATTGACATGTATATTTCTGAAATGTATATCCTGACATGTATATCTAATAGTAAAACACATAACTATATGTTTATATTCATTTATTTCGTGTATATCAAGACATTAATTGTATATCATATAATATTTAACTTGAAACACATCTGTCTTTGCTTACGTACTTAGTTTTTTTAAAAAATATTTACTTGTTATATTTATTGAATGAAATATATTTTTTTTTTGTGGCAGCATATTGATGTCATCTTCTACTATATAAGGAAAAAAATAAAGTATGATGCTAACATTCCAAAGTCCTTCACCACAACAAATTTTTTATTTTGTGTTAAGGGAAAATCATTGTATGATCAATTTCTTGCGAGCAATAGGGACTATGATGTCATCCCTAAAGATCATGAAATAGCTGAGTATATGTGAGGCTCATACATGCCTTGCAATGTTCCGTGGCACACCGTCGATCATGTACTAATTCCTATAGGCTTGAGGATGAATGGCATTGAATTTTGGGTTTGTTGACTTTTAAGGATAGGTGCATACACGTGTATGATTCCATCAGTGGAGCGAGACATGATGTTAAAATTCGCGAGGCTGTTGAACCATATGCAGTGTTGATTGCTCATTTCTTGGCTAGTACAGGCTTGCTCGTTTCTTATCTAGTACATGCTTTTACAGGAAGAGACATGATATTGATTTGACCAATGAACTCTACAGAGACAGACCACTTGCTAATCCGTTAGCTATTCACATGATTGATGATTTGCCACAACAAGAACACGCGTATGTTAAGTTTCAATCTATTTTATTTCTGAAAATAATAATATATTATAAAAGGGTGTTGAATCCTGCTAACTTCTCTTCACTCTGTTTAGTGATTGTGGTGTATATATGGCATCTTTTTGTCACGACCCGAAATTCCCACCTTCGGACCGTGATGGCGCCTAACATTTCACTTGCTAGGCAAGCCAACGTTAGAATAATATTAACCAAATTTTAAACAATCTTTACATTATTAATAATCAAGGAAACAAAAGCGGAAGCAAATTTTAAAATATAGTGAAATAATCCATAAATGCAACGGTGTCTAAATACCATCCCAGAATTGGTGTCACAAGTGCACGAGCTTCTAGAATAAATACAAATAAAAGTATGAATAAAATAAAGTTGTCTGGAAATAAGCACACAACTGAAGTAAAATAGAATGGGACTTCAGAACTGCGGACGCCATGCAGTTATACCTCAAGTCTCCTCTGAGTAGCTGAAATC